TTTGGAGAAGGCGTTCGACCGTGTTCCCCGGGGTGTTCTTTGGGGGGTTCTCCGGGAGTACGGGGTCCTCTGCTGAGGGCCGTTCGGTCCCTGTATGACCGGAGCCAGAGCTGTGTTCGCATTGCCGGCAATAAGTCAGACCTGTTCCCGGTGCATGTTGGCCTCCGCCAGGGCCGCCCTTTGTCACCGGTTCTGTTCACTGTATTCATGGACAGAATTTCTAGGCGTAGCCAGGGGCCGGAGGGGGTCCGGTTCGGGGACCACAGGATTTCATCTCTGCTGTTTGCGGACGATGTTGTCCTGTTGGCTCCAACAAACCAGGACCTACAACATGCACTGGGACTTTTTGCAGCCGAGTGTGAAGCGGCTGGGATGAGAATCAGCACCTTCAAATCTGAGGCCATGGTGCTCGACCGGAAAAAGATGCCTTGCCCTCTACAGGTGGGTGGAGAGGTCCTTCCTCAAGTGGAGGAGTTCAAGTATCTCGGGGTCTTGTTCACGAGTGAGGGAAGGATGGAGCGTGAGATTGACAGGCGGATCGGTGCAGCGTGCGCAGTGATGCAGTTGCTGTATCGGACCGTCGTGGTGAAGAGGGAGCTGAACCGAAAGGCAAAGCTCTCGATTTACCGGTCAATCTTCGTTCCCTCTCTCACCTATGGTCATGAGCTTTGGGTAGTGACCGAAAGAACGAGATAGCGGATACAAGCGGTCGAAATGAGCTTCCTCCGCAGAGTGGCTGGGCGCTCCCTTAGAGATAGGGTGAGGAGCTCGGTCACACGGGAGGAGCTCGGAGTAGAGCCGCTGCTACTCCAGGTCGAGAGGAACCAGTTGAGGTGGCTCGGGCATCTGTTCCGGATGCCTCCTGGACGCCTCCCTGGGGAGGTGTTCCGGGCACGTCCCACTGGGAGGAGGCCCCGGGGAAGACCTAGGACACGCTGGAGGGACTATGTCGCTCAGCTGGCCTGGGAACGCCTTGGGGTCCCCCCGGACGAGCTGGAGGAAGTGTGTGTGGATAGGAAAGTCTGGGCGTCTCTGCTTAGACTGCTGCCCCCGCGACCTGGCAACGGATGAAGCGGAGGAAAACGGACGGACGGACGGACGGACAAACTACATTCAAGCAACAAAAACTTGCATTAAATAATAACCGTCATTTATGTTATTTTTAGTCAATAAATCTGACCAAGATTTTAACTTTTTTTAAGTGTTTTATCTGGCGTTTTTACACTGTTTTTATTGAATGAGAATCTGGCAAGTTTTTCATTCTATTCATTCTATAATAAATAATAAAAAACCATGAAAGTTCTAGTGCTGAAAGAGAAAATAAAACTCTGAAAAAACTCCTTGTAAACTTCTTGGTCGTATTTGAGACAGAAATGAGATTCACAAGAGTCACGCTCAGTTCTCGTGGGTCTTGACCCTGATCAGAAGATTTCACTCAGACCGAGACAGATCTGAAACTTTCAAGACTTTGATCAGATTAAAATGCTTAGTATCAAGAGAGTTATGGTTTAACATGTGTTTCTGGTCTTTCTGGTCTTTCTGGTCTCTTTGAGAACGTGCAAACTCTACACAGAAAGGCCCAGTGCTGCCGGGACTCAAACCCACGGTCTTCTTTCTAGTGATTATTAATTGTAGCTGTGCAGACACAGATTAAGTTATTTTTTACATAAACAAATGCCCAGTGCTTACCTCTGCTGTTTGATATGGGGAACTACAGCCTTTTGGATGGATATGGTTTTGCAAATGTGTGTGGCACATGTGGAAAGTCATGGGGCAAAGGTAAAAGATTGAGACATTAAGGTCCCTCTGGTGTCTCACTAGTGTCTCTCTGGTGTCTCACTCTCTGGTGTCTCACTAGTGTCTCTCTGGTGTCTCACTAGTGTCCCTCTAGTGTCTCACTAGTGTCCCTCTGGTGTCTCACTAGTGTCCCTCTGGTGTCTCACTAGTGTCCCTCTGGTGTCTCAATACTGTAGTGTCTCTATGGTGTCTCACTCTCTGGTGTCTCACTAGTGTCCCTCTGGTGTCTCACTCTCTGGTGTCTCACTAGTGTCCCTCTGGTGTCTCAATACTGTAGTGTCTCTATGGTGTCTCACTCTCTGGTGTCTCACTAGTGTCCCTCTGGTGTCTCAATACTGTAGTGTCTCTCTGGTGTCTCACTCTCTGGTGTCTCTGTCCCTCTGGTCTCTCACTACTGTAGTGTCTCTCTGGTGTCTCACTCTCTGGTGTCTCACTAGTGTCCCTCTGGTCTCTCACTACTGTAGTGTCTCTCTGGTGTCTCTCTGGTCTCTCTCTGGTCTTTGTCAATGGAACAGGTATCTTTGGCACCGCGGCACGGTGGCTGAGTGGATAGCACTCTCGCCTCTCAGCAAAAAGGTCCTGGGTTTGAATCCCGGTCGGACCAGGGCCTTTCTGAGTGGAGTTTGCATGTTCTCCCCGTGTCTGCGTAGGTTTCCTCCGGGTACTCCGGTTTCCCCTACCACTAAAAAAAAAATATGTCCAATAGTTCTAGCATGTGCCTCCTGTACTGGCCCCGCTCCCATCTCTGTGTGGAGTGAGAGACAAATGCCCAAAATTAACACTTGTAAACCGCTTTGAGACTCAGATCTGCAGTGAAAAGGCGGTATATAAATAAAAACTTACTAACTTACTTACTATTTTATCTCTCTGGTCTCTAGTCTACTGTCTCTCTAATCTCTCCCTGGTCTGTCCAGTCTCCCTCTAGTCTAGCTGATCTCGCTCTTGTCTCGACTTGGACTCTAGTTTCTCTCTGGTCTGCAGTCTCTCTGGTCTCTGATCTGTCATCTCTCTGATCTCTGGTCTGTTTAGCCTCTCCCTGGTCTCTGTCTCTGGTGTCTTTAGTCTCTCCCTTGTCTCTCTCACTGGTCTCACTCTGGTCTCTCTCTCTCTGGTCTCTCTGGTCTCTCTCTGTTCTCTCTCTGGCCTCTTCCTGGTCTCTCTATGGTCTCTCTATGGTCTCTCTCTGGTCTCACTCTCCCTGGTCTCTCTCTCTGGTCTCTCTCTGGTCTCTCTCTGTTCTCTCTCTGGCCTCTTCCTGGTCTCTCTATGGTCTCTCTATGGTCTCTCTCTGGTTTCTCTCTGGTCTCTGATCTGTCATCTCTCTGATCTCTGGTCTCTTTCGCCTCTCCCTGGTCTCTGTCTCTGGTGTCTTTAGTCTCTCCCTTGTCTCTCTCACTGGTCTCACTCTGGTCTCTCTCTGGTCTCTCTCTCTCTGGTCTCTCTCTGGTCTCTCCCTGATCTCTGGTCTGCAGTCTCTCTGGTCTCTCTCTGTTCTCTTCCTGGTCTCTCTATGGTCTCTCTATGGTCTCTCTCTGGTCTCTTAATGGTCTCTGGTCTGCAGTCTCTCTATTCTCTCTCGGGTCTCTCTCTGGTCTCTCTCTGGTCTCTCTCTGGCCTCCCTCTAGTCTATTTAGTCTCTCTGGTCCCTCTCAGATCTCTCTCAGGTCTCTTTCTGGTCTCTTTAGTCTCTCTGGTCTCTCTCAGGTCCGTCTCTGGTCTCTTTAGTCTCTCTGGTCTCTCTCTGGTCTCTCCCTGGTCTCTCTCTGGTCTCTTCAGTCTTTCTCTGGTCTCTCTCTCTGGTCCCTCCCTGGTCTCTGGTCTGCATGTCTCTCTTGTCTCTCTCTGGTCTCTCTCTGGTCTCTCTCTCTGGTCCCTCCCTGGTCTCTGGTCTGCATGTCTCTCTTGTCTCTCTCTGTTCTCTCTCTGGCCTCTTCCTGGTCTCTATGGTCTCTCTCTGGAATCTCTCTGGTCTCTTCCTGGTCTCGCTCTTAATGGTCTCTGGTCTGCAGTCTCTCTATTCTCTCTCTGGTCTCTCTCTGGTCTCTCTCTGGTCTATTTAGTCTCTCTGGTCTCTCTCAGGTTTCTCTCTGGTCTCTTTAGTCTCTCTGGTCTCTCTCTGGTCTCTCTCTGCTCTCTCTCTGGTTTCCAGAGGAAGAACTCAGAGAACAATTGTTTGAAAATTCAAGTTGTGTCTTTAAACAGTCAAAAACATCAAAACAATAAATCCTTTTCCCATGTATTTCATAATTCTCCTGTTTCTCACTCTAGCACATGGTCCACACATGGTCCACATATGGTCCACATACGTATGTCACATGTTAGATTTTCCTGAAGGAGGTGAGAGCGAAGCCCAATAATGATGTTTCTATCTTTAGACCTGGAGCTGACACATTTACACATTCAGCAGAAATCTCACTTCTCCCCACGCAGCGTCTGCTCAGCACATTTCATATAGTTTTGCCGCAGAAACAAGTGTCTTTGTCTCTCTCTGGTCTCTCTCTCTGGTTTCTGTGGTCTCTCTCTCTCTGGTCCCTCTTTGGTCTATCTCTGGTTTCCGTGGTCTCTCCCTGGTTTCTGTCTCTCTGGTTTCTGTGGTCTCTGGTTTGTGGTCCCTCTGGTCTCTCTCTGGTCTGTGGTCTCTCTGGTCTCTGTCTGTGGTCTATCTGGTCTCTCACTGGTTTGTGGTCGCTTTGTTTTCTCTCTGGTCTGTGGTCCCTCTGGTCTCTCTCTGGTCTGTGGTCTCTCTGGTTTCTCTCTGGTCTGTGCTCTCTCTTTGGTCTCTTTGGTCTCTCTCTGGTCTGGTCTTTCTCTGGTCTGGTCATTCTGGTCTCTCTCTGGTCTCTCTGGTCTCTTTCTGGTCTCTTTCTGGTCTCTCTCTCTGTCTCTCTGGTCTGGTCTCTCTCTGGTCTGTGGTCTCTCTGGTCTCTCTCTGGTCTGTGGCCTCTCTGGTCTCTCTCTGGGCTCTCTCTGGTATCTTTGATCTCTCTCTGGTATCTTTGGTCTTTCTCTGGTCTGGTCTCTCTCTGGTCTCTCTGGTCTCTCTGTCCTCTGGTCTCTAACCCTTTATTAGATGTTTTTAAAAACATCTAATAAAACCACCACATTTTAACCTCTTAATGGAGTAGATTTTATATAAATCACATTTTTTTCTAAATCCTTTGCTGCTTAATATTATAATCTCATGCATTACTGATATTGTCCAGTGTGTGGCGCTGTTGGAGCGTGTTTGGTTGAAGCAGACGGTTCGCATCATAAGCCAGACTGGAGCCTTATGTCTGTCAAGGTACACAAGTAAACAGAGACCATCAACCAGAAGTTCTGTTTCACAATAAAACTCGACCCGCTGCGTGTGTTTTCTATGTGCAAAAACATAAAGGTAATTCAGATACAGGACCCACAATTATACTCACATATAACAAAAAAATCAAGAAATACTTTTAGATGGCAGGTGTTAAGGGAAAGTGTAATACAATTTTTTTTAAAGAAGTGTTTAGATTTAAACAAAATGTATGTTATAATAGATTATGGTCAGTAATGACCATAAGATTTACTGTATTTGTTTTGTTGTTGTTTGTAAAATTGCAAAGTTGTGACCATGTGATGCTGCATTTCATGTTTTTTGTCTGGTCTCTCTCTGGACTCTTTGGTCTCTCTTGTCTCTCTCTCTCTCTGGTCTCTCTCTTGTCTCTCTCTGGTCTATCTCTTTTCTCTCGCTGGTCTCTCTCTCTCTGGTCTCTGTCTTGTCTCTCTCTGGTCTCTCCACACAGAAAGGTCTGGAGGTGGAATCGAACCCAGGACCTTCTTGCTGTGAGGCACAAGAGCAGGAATGAATGTGTATTGTTTCTATCTTATACTGTAAATCTATTGCATGCATGTAATTGCTGTAAATTCCATAATTGCTTCCTGTTTATGAGCTTCATGAGCTCTCTGGTTTCCCTCTGATCTCTCTTTGGTCTCTTCCTCTTCTCTCTGGTTTCTCTCTGGTCTCTCTCTCTGGTCTCTCTGTCTCTCTCTTGTCTATCCCTGGTCTCTCTCTGGTCTCTCTCGGTCTCTCTCTGATCTCTCTCTGGTCTCTCTGGTCTCCCTCTTCTCTCTCTCTTGTCTCTCCCTTGTCTCTTTCTGGTCTCTCTCTCTCTGGTCTCTCTCTCTCTCTGGTCTCTACCTTGTCTCTTTCTGGTGTCTCTCTGGTCTCTCCCTGCTCTCTCTCTTGTATCTCTCTTGTCTCTCTCTTGTCTTTCTCTTGTCTCTCCCTGGTATCTCCCTGGTCTCTCCCTGGTCTCTCTCTTGTCTCACCCTGGTATCTCCCTGGTCTCTCCCTGGTATCTCCCTGGTCTCTATCTTGTCTCTCTCTTGTCTCTCTCTGGTCTCTCCCTTGTCTCTCCCTGGTATCTTTCTTGTCTTTGATCGCTTTGACCCTCACACACCCACAGCCATCATCCGTCTCTTATTGTGAAAGTCCACACCGGAAGTCCCTCCTCCCCGTCTCCCCTGCCTTGACTCCCTCCAGCTCCTCTGCTCTCTTCAGAATTGGACTTTTGTCAACACGACGCGGCGGATTCAAGTCTCCGGCCGGACTCCATGTCAGCCTGGCGTCTCTCCTCTCTTTCCGGTGCGTTCTTTCTCCACACTTTCTCATTTTAAAAACATTTTGCACACTCCTGATGCAAAAACACAGCGATAAAAATAATTTAATGCCCTGTCAGTGGCGTTCACCTGGACAAAGACCCAGGAGATGCCGACGTGGAGACCTACGGGAAGCAACATGTAGTTAGCAATGGGTGAAGTTTGCAAAAAGTAAAATTACGTCATGGTAACGAGTTCAAGCGCGTTACTTGTTTGATGGTCGGGTTGTGGTTAAGGTGTTTGGAGGGGACCAGGCTAATGCGTCGCGGCTAATGGTAGTTTAGCTGGTTGGGAACGCGTAACCAGTCCGTGCAAGATGGATGCATTGGTAAAAAAATATCTAAAATATCACGTTTTATGATAAAAAAAAAAAAGATACATGTGTTAAAAGACGTGTGAGTTGTTGCACTGAGGATGTAAAGGAATGTATTTATGGCTGCTGTAAATGATCGGGAAGGTTACCTCATACAGAGCTGTTATTTATTTACTACGGTTCGTGTGCGGAGTAGTTTGGCAATAATGGTTTTGGTTAAAGCAAGGTTTATTTGTATAGCACAGAATACACATGGAAACTCACAGAGCTGGGCAGGACATACAAGGCAATAATAAAAGAGAAGAGAGAGACAAGAGAGAGAGAGCAGAGAAAGAGCAGAGAGAGACGGGAGAGAGACACACACAAGACATACAAGAGAGAGAGAGATACGAGAGAGACAAGAGAGAGAGAGCAGAGATAGAGACGAGAGAGAGCAGAGAGAGAGACACGCACAAGAGATACAAGAGAGAGACACGAGAGAGAGAGAGAGACACGAGAGAGCAGACAGATACGAGAGAGAGGGTTTGTTATTATGACAGATTAGGGCTCTTTAATGATGACTTGACATGAAATATCACATATCCAATCCACTTTATTTATATAGCACATTTCATAAACACAGTTTCCAAAGTGCTGCACAATAAAATCTAAAACAGTAAAATACAAAATCAAACATATTTCTACTTTAAATCCCGTGTTAATGGTCTTTTTAAAGCCGAGAGAAACGATCTCAGTCAGAACTCTGCAGACCGAGGTATTTTAGTTTCTGTAATGATAGGTTTGTGTTGGAGCCACACTTTACTCACAGGGCCCTCTGTCCCTGTGCTCTCCACAGTGAGGATGAATCACAGTCAAATATGTAACACTGAAAAGCCAGACTGACTGATAAGTTTTGGCCCCGGCAGAAAAATGCAATGTATAAAATGTTAGTGAGGCAAGTTTTATTTGTGTAGCACAGTTCAAACACAAAGAAACTGGAAGAACTTAAAACAAGATGGAAACAAACAGACGGTATTAATGAATAAATAATCAAAGTGCATTCACTTTGGATTTGAACATTGTCAGAGAAAAAGCTTGTCTCACATTTTCAGGAAGACTGTTTGAGATTTCAGCAGCGTGAATCTGAACCGCAGTCTACTCATGTTCAGTCCTGACTCTGGGACCAGCTTTAACTAACTTATCGTCTCCTTTAATAGTCTACACTTGTCCATAATCTCTTGTTTGTTGCAGGCCTCAGGAGCGTCTGTCTGGAGCTGAATGGCTGACTCCCACATAGACACCGGGTCACATGACTCCCACATAGACCAGGTCACATGACTCCCACACAGACCGGGTCACATGATGCAGGCTCATAACCGCTTCCTCCTGCTGGTGGTGGGGGGTGCGGCGGCGCTGGTCATCCTCAGCCTCAGCGTCCAGTTCTGTGAGTGTCACTTTTAACTTTTACTGCTTTTTACATGTGCTGAGAATATGGTCCAACCACCAGGGGCGCCATATCCAATATATAAAATATTCCTGGTACACAGGTAGGGCCTTCCATGGTAAATATGTCCAAAATCCACCATGGAAAGCACACTGACAAAACCTGTGACGTCGCCTGTCATGGCCCAACCCTGGAGCCAGGCCTGGGCGGCGGTCGAAGGCGGAGACCTCGACGACCCAGTCACACACACACAACATCTGGATCTTGGGACGTGGAACGTCACCACACTGGGGGAGGAGCCTGAGCTCATGGGGGAGGAGCTTGAGCTCATGGGGGAGGAGCTTGAGCTCGTGGGGGAGGAGCTTGAGCTGATACTGACTCGAGATAGTCGTATCACCTCAACACACAGCTTGGGCTCTGGTTCCAATTCTTGAGTTATAATGTTTTTTGTGGGTTCTTTTGAAAAACATGTTGGAAGTATTTACTTGTTATCATGTTCCATCTCTGCAGCTGAAACAAAGTAATGCATTTTACTAGTCTTTCAAAACAACCAAAAGCCCAAAATGGACCATAGTGACCGTTTTGTTTGTATCGATGCAGGGTTTAAGATCTGGCCTGTTTTATAGTTACAGGAAAGATGTTTTCAGCTGCTCTCCTCCAGAATGTTAAACTAAAGTCTCTTTGAAATGCAAAACCTATTGATTTGAATGAGTCCAGGCCAGTTCTCATAGTTCCCATCGAGACACGGCATTCTATAAAATACAATGAAAACTAATGCAAATATTTGTGAATGTTGTGGTTTGTTAGTAAATGTTGTGTGTCCTAAACTAACTTGTTCCTGGATGATGGTGAAGCCTGATTCTTCTGTTTCCAGACCTCATACAGGACTCTATAATCACACAGAGAATGCAGCTCCTTGTTCGGATGTTAACCCCTTCCTCACTGCCTCAGATAATACTACAGGACTAGTGCATTCCTGAATCCAGACCACAGACCAGTCCCAGTCCTGGATCTACACCTGCTCTGTTCATAGGTTTCTCACTTTTTTTCCACCGGGGTTTTTTGAGTAGTTCCTAGGCAGGTATGGAATTCCAATGTAGTACCACCAAAAATATAAAAAATGTAGAGAGGGCGCCACACAGTAGGTTTTAGGCTCAAAAGTGAGATTTTATCTAATTTGCACTAAAATGTCAAAAGAATGACCTGGACACGTAGAAAGCACCTTAAGAAACATTATGAGTTAAAAGTTGATTTGGTGTTTAGTTGTCCTTTAAATATAATAGACTTAAACAGGACGGGTCCAACACTACCTCAGTCTAACACAGCTTCCTCAGTGTCCCTGTGAGCCCTGGGTCATTGCAGTGATGTAAACACCATGTCCCTGTGAGCCCTGGGTCATTGCAGTGATGTAAACACCATGTCCCTGTGAGCTCTGGGTCATTGCAGTGATGTAAACACCATGTCCCTGTGAGCTCTGGGTCATTGCAGTGATGTAAATACCGTGTACCTGTGAGCTCTGGGTCATTGCAGTGATGTAAACACCATGTCCCTGTGAGCTCTGGGTCATTGCAGTGATGTAAACACCGTGTCCCTGTGAGCTCTGGGTCATTGCAGTGATGTAAATACCGTGTACCTGTGAGCCCTGGGTCATTGCAGTGATGTAAACACCATGTCCCTGTGAGCCTTGGGTCCCACTGCTGCGGAGGAGGATTGTTTAGATGCTGGTCCCGTCTGTCATTGTTCACACTCTGCAGGGATTGTGTCAACAGAGTATTTCTGTCTCAGACTCAATGCAAGGAAATCAGAGGGTGGTGTGTGTGTGTGTGTGTGTGTCTGTGTAATTGTGTATATATGTGTGTGTGAGGTAATGTGCATGTGTGTGTGAGGTAATGTGCGTGTGTGTGTGAGGTAGTGTGTGTGTGTGGGGTAACCTGTGTGTAGTCTACCACCTGCTCTTGTGTGTAGCGTTTCACAGGACACAAATAAATGCAGGTCTCTCTCTGTGTGTGTAATGGAGACACCACACTGTGAAGTTATATGTTCAAGTCCTGGACACACATTCCAGGGTTAACAATGGCGTCTCCATAGCAACATGTTGATCCACCAAAGCATTTTCCTTTTGCACTTTTTAAATTATTATTATTAAGAGGCCAGTCCCTGTGCTCCTCAGAGTCCCAGCAGGAGGCCAGTCCCTGTGCTCCTCACATGTCACAGATGTATTTTGGTGCGAGGCCATGGAAAGACTTGTAACAAACAGAGCTGTTTTAGTCTCGAGACCAGGACTGATGTGGTTGGACTTCCTGGTTCTAGTCAGGGCTAGTAACCTGGCAAGAGCCAGATTGATGATTGTGTAGAACTCTTATGCGTTCTCTACAATATCAATCTGGGACTTCTGCAGGAGAATCCTTTCGGGGAAAGGAGGGATAAGCAGCAGAATACTTCAAGCTGATTGGGCGAAGTGACGCTGTGTGCCCGCCTACCAAGGTTTGACTTAAACCAATCCCGGTAACATCTTTGCCGTCCAGAAATGCACAAAGCGCCTCTCGCTGTTCATCTTTCAAAAGAGAAATTGGAGAGTTTCCTCTAAAACTGACTTGATAGCCTCAGCTACGCGTCCGTCCTCCTGCGTAGCCATGTTTGTTTTGCTTCGGCCCGGCACTTCTTGCTTTTGTCAAACCCGGATATCCCGCCCTAAACCCCCAGACTGGCGCGTGATTGGCTTGAACACCTAGATGTTCTACTCGAAAAGGGTTGGCGGGAGCGGGACAAGATGTATTCTCGAGTGTTGGTGAACTCACAAATACTGCGAGAATTCAGCTTGCAGGCAAGGTTACAGGGCTAGAGCTGCAGATATTTTTCAGCTTGTTTTTGAGAGACCAGTGAGCAGGCATTAAACTAGTCTAACTTACTGGAGACAAATGTACGATATGAAAAGTGATGATTTAGACACTATATTTTGAACTTTGGCCATGTTTTTCAGATGGTAATAAGCTCCTGATGTGGCTATTATATCTCCAAAAATCTCTAACAATCTCTAAGAATTAGCCTCAGTGTTATAAATTCTAATTGTTTAGCAATGTTTTTAAAGAGGTTGATGAATGGATGAATGTAGTATGGACATATAGATAGATACTTTATTAATCCTTGTAGGTCATTGCTGCTTTTCTGTGTTTGTGTTTTTATGGATTCCCACTAGGGCTGGGCGATATAAACGGTATAATCGGTATGCGATATAAATTTGGCCCACGGTAGAAATTTTTGTTATACCGGCATATTGCGATAGGTCATTATGTCATCAAATTGCGCAGGCTCTGACACCAGCAGAGAGCATCAAAACAAACCGGCATTCAGCAGCATTAGCCTAGCATTAGCCTAGCATTAGCCTAGCACTATTGGACACCACTGGAAAGAGCGAACAACAGCACGGCATTCACACTGTGTTTCTGTCTCTGTATTGTTGTCACAGCGGCCCCAGCAGAGGTAAATACACACACAGTAATCACAGCTACCTTTTGGCCAATCAGTGTCAAAGGGGCGTAGGCTCGAAGCGCCACTGTGAGCCAAAATAGATCCATGCGTGTGCCGTGTCCGCAGCATCATCACAGTTTGGGAAAGTTAGCGTCAGATTCAGACCTCCGCGGTCAATATCTGACGAAAGCTACTTTGTTAAACAAAATTAATTGTGCCAAAATGACCATTTACATCAATTGTTCAAATCCAATGTGCTGTTTTAATGAACATAAATCCATTGAATCATCCAGTTCACTGCAAGCGCAAAGAAAAGCGCTTAGAGAGCGTCAACATATCGCAAGACCAGCTTTGTTAACAAACAATAGCTTTTACTAAAGCCATGTACCTGCACAAAACTCTCAGACGCTACAAAAAATGACCATGTCTAACTGCTGCAGGCTTTGATTTCAACATTTGTGAGTGTTTTTATTTTCTAAATAAATACATATGTTTTTCTTTTCTTTTTTTAAATTGCTTTTACAGTAAATGGTCTTTACTGTAACTCACATAAATAATGTATGTTACAGCATTTGTCTCTTCATTTGTCTCACAACTCAAAAAATATATAGATTCTAATATATAAATAAGTAACACTCTTTACTATTTTATGCAAGAACCTGCTAGACCTATATTGAAATTCACACACCAAATTATACCGCAATATATACCGTCTACCGTCTGTGACCCAAATTATACCCCAATATGAATTTTAGGCCATATCGCCCACCCCTAATTCCCACTGAGGCTGCCGCTCTGGTCTGTAAATGACGTTCCCTGCGGATAAATAAAGTTATTTGAATTGAATTGAATTTGAATTGAATTGTAAGCACAGAGAAGAGAGACCGGAGAGAGAAATAGACCGGAGAGAGAGAGAGAGAGAGACAGAGAGAGAGAGAGAGAGAGAGACAGAGAGAGAGAGAGACAGAGAGAGAGAGAGAGAGACAGAGAGAGAGAGAGAGACAGAGAGAGACACCATAGAGAGACACCAGAGAGAGACACCATAGAGAGACACCAGAGAGAGAGAGAGACTGATGCTTTTTCGACACGGAACCCTCTCCAGACGGGTTGGACCCTGCACTTGATCTGCTGATTGCTAATTAAAAGACACATTTCCTCGCGGTCCAGCGCCTTAATCGTCTCTGCTCCAAAGTACCATTTGTAGAAAAGCTTTTGTCATCATTTATTAATCCAACGCGGTGAGGAATTGGAGCCATCAGCGTCGGCTCAGCCCGTGGGGTTTCTACTCATGTTTAATAAATACCCTTCTTCTTGTTTTTATTATTCTGTCTTCTTTGGCCGTCTCAGGTCCAGTAGTGGTAGTAGTAGTAGTAATGGTGGTAGTGATGGTGGTATTAGTGTTAGTGTTAGTGGTAGTAGTCTTGGCAGTAATAGTAGTGGTAGTAGTAGTAGTGATGGTCGTGGTAGTAATGATGGTAGTAGTAGTAAACTGAGGGAGATTTATATACGTGATTATTTATGAGAGAGAAAGA